TATTTGCCAAAATCTATTTCTCAGTTGTCACAAGTGGCCGGTTATTAAAACTGTTACTTCATTTTGCACCCAAATCTGCTGTTTTCCTACAAAAGCAAATATGTGTCATTACTGTGAACTTTGAAATTTTTTTCTAATTTCATATAGATGACTCCAGAATTGTTATACTTTTGCATTCCTTTCTTATTTTAGAATATTACCTCAAATATTCCCCTTTTTTTTTCTTTTCGGAAAATATTTAAAACTATTTTACAAATGCCTTGTCATGAACATGGATGTATTTGTTCCATAGCCTTTTCCATCTCTTCTCAGAGGTTACAATCACTTCCATACCCTTTAGCCAATATTTATTAAATACCTCCTTTCTGTGAGACTTATATTGGCAAAAAAGTAGATGACAAGGACAAGGCTTGTCTTCCAATTGATTATAATAGAAACCATATGAACATAACTATACTGCAAGGCCAAATGTAGCAAATAATCTAAAATTGGCACTGATAATAAAAACCATAAATTCAGTGGAGGAAAAGAATCTTTCATGGCATCTTCAGCCTTTAAAAAATCCCCTTCCTTGCACACTCTTGTTTTTAAACCACACAGAACTCCATGGGGGTCTCGGGGTCTCTTGGGGAAATCTTGTGCTAGGCTTAGGTCCCAGTAGAACTAAGGTTCCAAGGGTCAGATCATCTGTGTCCAGGTTTACCTGGCTCCCTAAGCAACTATTATTAATCTATTTCCTTATGATTAAGAGAAAATGATATTAATCAATCATTGATCTTTGAAATCTGCTTTTAGTATTGGGAAGGCCTCAGAGAACTCCCACCCCTCAGGACAGGTATGCTCAGTGTTACTGTGTGTGCCTAAAACTTCTTTGTTTCAGGCAGTTTGGAGCATGTGAACATACCCTGAGCCTTGATGAGTTCCAGTATGTGGTATATTATGCAGAGCATTCAGAGCAAATACTCTCTCTCAGAGCGCTTAATCCGAACAATCGCCGCCATTCGTTCCTTTCCACATGATAATGTAGAGGACCTCATCAGAGGGGTGAGTGTGCTGTGATTGACCCCAGAGTCCTTGGGGAGGTGAAGTGGGAAAGCTGGGGAATCCTAATAGATTACAGATTTGTAGCTTTGACTCAGCTCAAGATCACAAAGAGTTTTTACAGTCTTCTTAAATGTATTAACTTGACCTTTGAAGTATGGTTTTCCTGCTTTGCTTCTCCCTTCTCCTTTTTACTTTGAGCATCTGATATTTTTCTTCAGGAAATATGTTCTAGATAACCCTAGTTTCACGTTGTTTGTAAAATCTCCATCTGGATGTGGTGCATATGGCATCCAGCAAGCTCAAAATCTTCTGCACATGTTGTACTAAGGGAGGAAGGAGACGAGCAAAGCAGCCGTGGTTTTCAGATCCTTGCGGGTTATAATGATTACATGGAGAGATATCACCTGCCTTCCATCTTAACAACTGCTATCACTTCTAGTTTGGTAGAAAATATTGCCAACTCCTAAAATGCATGGTAATTTTTGACTTTAGAAAACACTTTAATATCTGATATCTAACCACTGCTGTTCAGTAATTCTGTTATATGACTAATGTATCCTAGAATGTCTTTATACCTTTTTCTGTATAGTATTCCTGTTGTAGAGACGTTACAGGGTAATTTTTGATCACTAGCAAATGCATCCAGATGGTTACTTCTGTACATTCTTTTTAGCAAGTTTCAAATCCTTATTGATAGCCTAGAGCTCTGTATTTGCTTCAGGGTTGTATGCCACAGCAGTGAGAAAATCATACAGTCTTAGTGTGTTCTCAGCAAAAGTGGCATCAGAAGGCTCAGCAGTAAAAATTTTGTCACGTTCTAATTCTAGCTGTGCTGCTGAGTCATTCAATGACTTTGGTCTGACTGTGGTATCTCCATCTCCTTTATCAGATTTGAAATAGAAGTACCAGCAGGGGCTAGGTGGCAGAGAATGCTGATACGAAGAGGCTATTTTGAAGTGTTTGTAAACAAAATGATGATGTTAAGATGACCCTTACCTTAGTGATGGTTATCTGTTGAATGGCAAAAAGAGTGCACCAGCTCTCCTGGCTTCAGTCTGACACTCACTTTCCTGACTTTTTCAGAGCATGGTGGCCATAGAAAGCGTTTCCAGGTTTCCTGCCTGATGATAAGGTTCCCACTGCTTTTACACATCAGGTTACGTCCTCAGTGATGTCCAAATAACCTTCTGGCAGGCTACCTTGTGGAGAAACTTAATAACTTGATCTACAGAATTGACAGTCCCTTTTATTCATCTTCAGTGTATTCGCTTGGTTTGGATATTAGCATCATAATATTATTTAATTAATAGGAATAGAAACTGGGACCAGTAATCTGTTTACAGTACAGCCAGAGCTAGAACCCTCTTCCCTCTTGGACTCAGTTCTGAGTCTCATCCTGCTGGGTGAGCCGGAGCTGAGCACACTGATTGAAGTTTCCTTCTGCCCATAGGGAGCAGATGTGAACTGTACCCATGGCACACTGAAACCCTTGCACTGTGCCTGCATGGTGTCAGATGCTGACTGTGTGGAGCTACTCCTGGAGAAAGGAGCTGAGGTAATGTTTATAACACTGTCACATTAGCAATTCACTCAAATTTGAGTTTCATAGTTTCCTAAAATTTCTTGTCTTTTCTCCCATCTTTTCCCACCTTCTAGCTCATGGTAACATTGGCAATAGCCAATATTGAAACAAAATGTAATGGCAAATATATGAAATGATCCAAAGGATTTCATTTCTTTGACTTTCTTAAGTTGTCCATGGCTCCAGGAAGAGGGAATTTTTATCTCCCCTTTCTCCCCCAGCCTTTCTTCTGGGGATGTTTATATTCCACTTAATCCTCTCATTGCCTATTGACTGTCCAGGAGCTGTAAGTACAGAGGTCCCTCAACTCTGAGTAAATCTAAACTATTTCAGACCTGTTAACAGACGTGCATGTCTAATGCCACTGTCACTGGGAGATAAATAGTATCATTAGGCAGTCTTATCTTGAGGATTGGACTACTTGTGCTATTTCTGCCAATTAATTATTTTCTGTTTTAGTATGTCTTATTTTTTGTCGTTTTTCTAATGAGTATCTTAACATAAAAACCATAGATTAATTTATATTGGCATTATCAAGAAGCAGCATAGTATAATAACTGATTAAAAGAATAGACTCTGGAGCCTGACTTCATGGATTTGAATTCCAGCTGTAACTTCTAGCTGTGTGACCTTGAACAAGTTACTTAACCTTTCTTTGCCTTAGTTTCCTCATCTGTAAAATGGGGATGCTAATGGTATCTTCTTTATACGGTTGGATGCTTATAAAGAATGCTGGCATGTAGTAATTGCTAAGTGTTTGTTAAATAAATAAATTAGCAGTTTTGACTCCTGGTGAGCAATCTTGAATGTGCATATGCTGAGGCACAATTTGAATCAGACATGCCGTGAAGCTGGCGTGCAGGCCCCAGACACACTGGTCAATAGGCCTAAGGGGCAGCCCCCAGCATCCTCATCCCTGCACAGCCATGTTGTTCTCTACTTGTCATTATCTACTCCATAACTTTTGTGAGTGACCCTGAAATGAAAGCCAGTGATTTATGTCAATGATGAAAAGTGAAAATATCTTGGGGAAAAAAAGAGTTTTTAGCTAAATAGAAAGTTGAACTCAGTTAAATATTTCAGTTTTTATTTATTGCATTTTATGGGGGAAGATAACATACTGTTTAAAAGTTTGGGTTTTGAAGTGTTTGTAGCCTTCAAAAATAAGAGGTGATGCTGACTTTTAGCAAGCCAATTGCTTTTCCAGCATTGGGAGGTTTGTGCTTTCCTCCACATGCTCTCATCCAGGTTCTCTTGACTTCACAGCATATTTTTGCAAGGGGCTGGCTTGGATTAACAATTTCAGCTTCTCTGTATGGTTAAAGAGCAGAGCAAAGCTATGTGGGCAGAGCTAGTTTGGCCTCATTATGTTTCAGTCTGGTTTCCTTAAGCCACAGGATAGAGTGAGTCGGGATGGGTAAAACACTCCAAAACCTTTACTCTGCCTAGTATATTCAAGCTGCTTTCTAATAAACGTCTTTCAGAGTAGTGACAAGGACAGACTTCATCTTCTCTTTCTTTAGCCCCTACTCTACTAGTAGAGTATTCTAGTGAATGGTCAATAAGAACATAGCAAACACCCGAATAATGCAGGCCAGCCAATCAGTGCACATAATAGAGTGGTGTTGTTTGGGGACAGTTCCTTCCATTTGTTCCTAAGCTCCTGTTTTATCTCCTCCTTGATCACCACGGCCCCGAGAATTGCTTATTGACCCTGTTGTTCAGAACATTATGTAGCAAAGGTAGTGGATACACACATGCAAGCTTTGGTGCCCGCCTACCATCCTCTCAGTAGTCTTGTCTACTGTAATATAGTTCCGCCCTCTCTACAGGTGAATGCCCTGGATGGTTACAACCGAACAGCCCTCCACTATGCAGCCGAGAAGGATGAGGCTTGTGTGGAGGTCCTCCTGGAGTACGGTGCAAACCCCAATGCACTGGATGGCAACCGAGACACCCCACTTCACTGGGCAGCCTTTAAGAACAATGCTGAATGCGTGCGGGCCCTCCTAGAGAGTGGAGCCTCTGTCAATGCCCTGGATTACAACAATGACACCCCGCTCAGTTGGGCTGCCATGAAGGGAAATCTTGAGAGCGTCAGCATCCTCCTCGATTATGGTGCAGAGGTCAGAGTCATCAACCTGAAAGGCCAGACACCCATCTCCCGCCTGGTGGCTCTGCTAGTCAGGGGACTTGGAACTGAGAAAGAGGACTCCTGCTTTGAGCTCCTCCACAGAGCTGTTGGACACTTTGAATTAAGGAAAAATGGCACCATGCCACGAGAAGTGGCCAGAGACCAGCAACTATGTGAAAAACTGACTGTTCTGTGCTCGGCCCCAGGAACTCTAAAAACACTCTCTCGCTATGCTGTGCGCCGTAGCCTGGGACTCCAGTATCTTCCAGACGCCGTGAAGGGCCTTCCACTGCCAGCTTCTCTGAAGGAATACCTGTTACTTGTAGAATAGCCTGGAGGAGAGGTTTGCACCATCATGCAGGCAACTCTGGGTGAGGTTTTTTTTCCTGCAGCAAAGTCTCTTTGTCTTGGAAAACAGGAAAAGCAGTTGTTCCTGTTGTGTGGTTTATATTTTGAGGCAACATGTCACAACAGTAACCTCCGCACCATCTCTCCTCCCCAAACCAAGCAACCAAACAAACAAACAAAAATCTGTCACTTTGTTTTCTGTTTACTGCTTACTTGGTTTATTATATTGCACCCTGCAAAAAAGAGGTTTCCCTTGCCCTCTCCCCTTTAGGGAAAAAGTCAACAGTGCAACTAAATTTCTCTAAGAAGATAAAAAGGACTTAAATATCATGTGTTTGGTTTTCCTGTGGGGACATAATGTTTTGGAACAATCCCTCGAGAAGCATTTTAGTTGATCTGAGAAGAAGTTTAAGAAAATTCCAGCTAACACTGTGGCCCCCAAATGAAAGTACTACAGCCTCAAATACTGTGCAGATTGAGAATGGGCCTGGGTGGTATCCCTAGAATGCCACATGATGGGGCATTCAGAAGGGACTGGCCCCCTTCCTCGCCAACAGAGGAAACAGTAGTCTTTGCTTTTTCCATGGTTGTGCCCAAGGGTTACAATAGTCGAGCAATGTTATTTCAGAAAGATTGTCTCCATGCTTTCCATAGTAGAAGAGATAGCAGGTCCTAAGCAATCCTAGGAACTTTTCTTCTAATGCAGTTCTCTTCCTGAAAGCCAGTTTGCTCTAATGGCATAGCAGGCATTTCCTGCACCATAGAGGAAGGTGTCTGCTCTAGTGGAGGAGGCCTTGCTAGGGCTGCCTTTTCCCATGGGTCTTCCTCATTCCCTATACGAAACTCACTCTGCTAAGAGTTTGGAGTTATTTTTCTTTCAGTTGTTTTGGAAACTTTGCTTTTTATTGATCTATACAACACATTGATTGGGGTGGGTGGGAGAAGAGCATTACAAGAGCTTCTTTTGAGATGGCCCACCTGCCCCCAAATATTCTGTTTTAGTGACCAATATTTAGTCAACAATACTCTTCCTTTTCATGTTCCTAAACTAGATCAAGTTGTTATTGATCTTAGATGACCTGTATGCAAATTTGAAAAACCTTTTTTGAAAAACAGATTGGGAACTACAGATAAAAATGAACAGAATCTGCTGACACAGCTAATTTTTAAAAGTATGTCTGCTTCTGCCCTTTTGCTATTGGTGTTTTTGCTCACTTCAAAAAGAAAAAAAAAAAAGGAAATAAACAGTTCTAAAGCAAGCCTGGCAATTTCTACTGTTCGTACTTTTCTCCACATTATTTAATCACCCTGAGCCCCAGTGTCATCTCTAAAATGGGGCCGTTACCACCCACCTCATAGGCTGTTTTGAGGATTCAATGATAACAGTGCTTGATCTTTATTATTAATTCCTGTACAAAAAACATTGGCTGCTTTAATTCTGGACCCTGATAAAGCTTCTCAGTCACTACTTAGAACTGTTTGTAGGGTATAACAGTAATACTTTGGACAGCCAGCAAAAGTGATGTGCTAGAGATAATCCCTTCTTCCAGCCCTTGTAACTTTGAACCTCTTTCCTGCTTCATGAAGCCAGTGAGGAAACATGTGAGTTCGGAGGAATATATATGCGTGTGCTGAGAGCCGGGATGTGGTTTTTGGAGGCTAATCTTAAACCTGGTGTTGACAGGGCACCATCCTGTCAGTTTTGAGTATAATCTGCAGTCCCAATTCTGAAGACCAACTGCATTACATGGTACTTGGCTAATGAGGAGGAAGAAGCTGTGATGGAACAGAAAACAAATTAAGCTGAATAAGAACTGACATCTTTCCAAAGCAGTATTTCAACCAACCCGCAAAACCAGGTCTAGTACTGGATGTCTCAATTTCTCAGACTTTCAAAATGTACATGTCTCCCCATAAGGGGAGTCTTGCTATCATCCAGGAAGTAGTGCAGGGGAAAAGTTGAGAAGGAAGAACCCTGGGTTGTCAGCGAAGGAGTAGAGATCATAGGATGGTTAAAAAAAAAACTGCTCTGGGTAATGGGCATATGTTTAGGAGGTGAAACACAACTTTAGCTTAAGGGAGACTGGAGCATCGTACTGGCTGCAGAGGATGCAGGAAGGACTAGTGCGCGACGAGAATGAGGACCAGTGTACCATGATCTAGGACCCTGTGTAGAACCAAGAGATGCTGCCAAAGTCCACGGGTGATCACATCGCTGCGTTTTCCCAGCTATTCTGTCTGGGTGGAGTCCGGTGCTTGGGGCTGATAGTACTACATTCTACTTGTGAAAACAATAACAGGAGAACCAAAAGCACAGTGACCAGTTGGCATTTATTAGTGTAGTTATTGTTTGTCACTGTCGCAAAAGTAGTAGAGGAACCAAGACTTTGTTATCACAAAGAAATAAATAAAGCTTATTTTTTAGGAAAATTCTAACCGAGTAACTGAAATCTAGCAGTAGCACTAGAGGAGCCCAGCCTTGTGTGACCGATGAAGCTGGGGTAGAAGTCATGATAAATTCTACCTACAAGGAGCTTCCACTCATTGCCCCCTAGTCAGAGCTGATCATGGCTGCAGTTACCAAATAAAACGAAACCTAATGAAAAATGAGCTAAAACACTTGCAAATACATGGACTTGGATCTATCAGGGGGCAAGCTGACCATGATCAGGCAATCCGTTCCCCTCACTCCAAAGACGTTTAGACAGGAGCTTCTCCAGACCGCTTCCGACTGATGTGCTCCAGGTGAGCGTGCTCTGAGGTATCCAAGTCGATCTCATACTTGGCTAGGATTTTGAGGATGGGTCTCAGCTTCAGCCACCACTGTTCCTTGGGGATACGGTGCCTACAAAGGAATGAGGTAGATGATGATTTAATCTTTCAGCATCGCAATCAACTTCTATCAAAGGTTATGGGAAGAATTGAGTAAAAGGGGCTGGATTTAGGGCATGGGCATCAGATCTGAAGTAGGTACAACTGCACGTGTTACTCCTAAGAGAAAATGATTGAAGACAGTGAGCAGGTTGGGAAAAGTAGATCTACCAGGGAGGGAACCACTCCAGGAAGTAGATGTACTCACTCAAAATCTGTCTGGTCCTTTAGCTCAGTCACTGGTTGAAATACCAGGGCCCTCTTACGCATGCCCAGAACACAGCCCGAGTCTGGTGTGTTGGCAAAGATCCGACCTGCAATAAGGGATGGTCAGTCAGCTTCTATACTGGGGAACCAGCCTCTTATGGAGGGGGCTCACCCTCTTACCCCACCTACCATTACGGTAACTCTCTTTGATTTTCCCGGTCATCCAGTTCATAGCCTTGGCGCCCATCTTAGTGGCAAAGTTCCTATCAAATGGAGTTGGGCTCCCACCCTAGAAAAAGAATCATAAAAATTACAAAGGGAAGGACTCTAATAAAGTAGCAGAGATATCTGAATACACAGAGAAAAAGGAGAGAAGGGCTCAGGTTTACAGCCAGAAACAGGAATCCAGAAATGAAACTATGAAAGAAAATCCTGAAATAGTTCTGGGAACCAGGGTGAGCTGCCCAGCATATTTGGCCATTTGTCAGGTATGAGGGTTACTAATTAGTTAAAGAGGATGACTAGTCTCACAGTGGCCTCTTCTAGCTCCGTAGCTCTGATCCTGTTCATTTACTTTAGTCTCACTGGCCACTTGGTCACTTCCCTACCCCTTCAGCCTAACAGCTTTAGTCAGTCACTATTATCGATGACATCGAAGTGTTCCTATGGCCCAGTCCAGATGTCTCTGGTAGCACCTCAGAATAATGTAAAACATGTAGATTTTCTCTGAACAGAGAGAAAGTAGGTGGGAAAATGGGAAGGAAGGAAAAACAGGAAATAGGTCTTCATACTTGAATCTAACAGTACCCCATTCCTGCAGGGGCTAATAAGCTCATTGAAACTGAGATACTAGGAATTTATTTGTGGATAGAGAAAGATCAAAGGTCAATGCTTAAGCAGCATCAGTTAGGGACATTTGGGATGGGGAAGCCTCAGAACACTAGTGCCATATGTGAGTGAGGCCTACCTTGGGTGGGTACGGAATGTGGGAGGTAGAAAGGAATTCTTTCCTCTTGAAACCTAGTGAGTGGAGATGGAGCCCAGCAGCAAGGTGCCTGTACTCATTCCACAGGTTCCTTATGAAATGGGCGTGGTGGGAAGGGCGATGGACCAGGCTCAGTCTGGCTCTCACCCAAGCGTGATAAATGGCCCTGACAAAATTATTTCTCCTCTCGGGGCCTCATTTTCTTCACCTCAATCGGTGGTTCTCAACTAGGAACAATTTCGCCCTCCAGGGAACATCCAGGGGCATTGTCTGGAGACATTTTTCAATGGTTACTAGCATCTCGTGGGTAGAGCCCAGGGATGCTGCTAAGCCATCCCACAATGCACAGAGCAGCCACCTGTGACAAAGCATTATCCAGCCCCAAATGGCCATAGTGCCGAGGTTGCGAAACCCTGCCCTAAATGAACAGGATAGCCACGTAGTTTATAAGGCCATTTCCAGGATAAAGATGTTTTGATTCTATAACTGTAAAAGATAGCAGGCTCAGGCTCCATGGCGACATTGCCAGCCTCCAGCAGATCAGAGCCCAGTGGGAGCCCCGATGGATGTTGGGGATGATGGCAGACTGGTGAAGGGCATGACTGGGGTGTCTTTCTTACCTGCTGCATGTGGCCAAGCACGTTCTTCCTGCTGTCGAAGATGCCCTTTCCCTCCTCAGAGTACAGGTTGAAAATGAAGTCAGTGGTATAGTTCTCATTGCACTTCTCATTCCTGCCAGGTAGAGAGAGCAAAAGCCTGTGACTTCGGTTGTCTCCCCATCCCCCCACCCACTTTCTGCCTTTGTAGGCCCTGTTCTGCCCTTTCTATCGCCCCCTGTGGTCCAGTTTCTCTCCCTTTGTACCCACAGGTTCCTCCGAATGTCCCAGCCATGCATCCATTCTGTGGGCTAGGGCCAAAGCCTGACTATTTTCTCTCTTCCCTTAGGAACAAACGGTGGGTCAGGTACCTTAACACCAAGCCCCTTTTCACAGTTGTTTTCATCTTTTGCACCAGATGTTCAACATTCGCCTGAAAATGAAACAGTCAATCCTAAGCCTGGCTGGGAGTGGATAAGGTCTGGCAAGTGCAGAACCTCTTTTTTCCCCATCCCGCCTCTCCAGGAGGGAGAGGGACATAACAAGAAAACTGTTTACACTCTTGGGCCTCAGGCTGTGCCTGATCCCTTTACAAAGTTCAGTGCAGACTGAAGTTTAAATGAAGTTCCAAGTGAGACAGGCAGAACTCTAAGAGGGCAAGTTCCAGACAGTGCGGTGACTGTCAGTTTTCAGCCCCCTCCCAACCCCTCTCAATTTCCCTCTCCAGGGGTTTCCTGTTCTCCTTCCCTGGGAGGGGTGACTCTGCTCTCAGTGTCGGTCTTTAAATGCTTGTATGCACCTGGGAGGAGCCAGCTCCTTCGCTGGGGCTTCGAGTTGAGGGTGGGGGAATAGGAGCCCCGCCCTCCACTCCTGGCAGGGGCTGGCTGGGCCCTTGGCTTAGGGGGCTCCCTCAGCCCTGCCACCCCTCCACTGCGCACTCTTTTTCCCTCCAGTGAACTAGGATCTTGGAAAATAAGGATCATAGGGTCCCTCTGTGAAACAGGAGTCAGAGCCCCCCTGCCCCTCAGAGGTGAAAGGGTATCCCCCTCAAAAATGGAATGAGAAGAGTCCACTTTGGTACAAGGGAAATCGGGAGGGGTGGCGTGACATAGCAGAAAGTCACCTATTTACTTAATGAGATGAGAAAAGCTTTTAACCTCTCGAAACCTTCCTCATCTGTCATACGAAAACAGCAGCTCCCTTGCATGTCTGTCGTGAAGATAAAATGAGAGAGCTCTCGCTGTGGGGACAGTGGGGACAGACTGGGGCAGGGCAGAGCTACCCAGCAGGCTCTGGGTGGCCATCTACCTGCAGGTCTCGAATGGTGAAGGCCTCCTCAAAAATGTAGGCAGCATCGGCCCCAGCTGCCAGTCCTGCCATGGTGGCCAGGTAGCCACAGTAGCCGCCCATAGTTTCAATGATAAACACCCGACGCTTGGTGCCTGCAGCTGACTGCTTGATGCGGTCACAGGTCTGCAAAGACAATGGGTCATAGAAAGACAGAGTCAGGGATCTCATTCTCATCACTTCTGTGGACCTTGTCATAGCCCAACTCGAACTATCTCCTCCCCAGGCCAGCAGGACCCCTACATCTCGTCAAGCTCTCGCCTTCAGGGACAGCAGGCACATTTGCCAAGCATACTGTGGAGCTTCTCTCCTGGCAAGGAAGGTGTACCTACCCTTTCTGTTGCTTAGAGTAGGGAAATTAGGCTGTATGGCCTCAGGAAGGAAAAAACATTTGGTATGCAGAGTCCTGATGCATGTCTAGGTTAGAGGACTCACAAAGTGAGGAGAATGAACACCACGTGAATGGTTAAATAAAGTTTGTGCAAACGCCTGGACTTGAAGAAGGGTTTTTCAAACATTGCCACTTGGTACAAAAAATATAGCTTGCTTTCTAGAACCAGACTCAATCTAGGGCTTATAATCCTGGCCAGAGGCAGGGGCAGCGGTGCTGGGCTCTTACCGTGCAGATGGTGTTGAGTGCAGTGTCGGCCCCCACGCTGAAGTCTGAGCCAGGGACGTTGTTGGAGACCGTCGCGGGAATGATGACAAATGGGATGCAGAGCTCGTCATACTGCTTCCTGCCATCCATCAGTTCCAGGCCCCCAGTGTATGCCTGAGAAGGACACAGTAGCAAGGGCAGGAGTGAGGGGACACGGAGCAGGGTGGCAGGGAGGGGGGGAAATGGCAGGCACTCACCTCAAAGCCCCCGATGATGATAAGGCCTTGAATATTAAACTTAGTGATGTTGGCACTGATCTGTTCTAAGCTCTTCTTGGGCAGAGTCCTAGTTGATTGGGAGGAGGGAGGGTAATGGAATTTGGGGAAGAGAGAGCAAAATTGAGGAGGGGAAAGTTAGAATTAGAGGACACTTATCATTTCTTGACTTGTGCCCTCTTCCCTACGCCACTTCTCACCCCTGTCCAAGGACACACACTAGGGCTCTAAATTGTCAGAGCTGCTAAAAGATGTTGGATGGTCATGTCTGCTCTCACTGAAGCAACTGTGACCTTGGGGGTAGAGGACCCAGACAACAGCAATGGTCTAAGCAGACCCTGCCCTAATGAATTGATGACCACATTCCAAGGGACACCTTTTAAGGGGTGACTAAGAGGAGATGCTCTTATAATGCCACTTACCTTTTAGTCCCAAGTTTAGAACCACCTTGGCCAATCCAGCCCCCAACATAGCTCCAGCCAGCTTCCTCAATCTGCAGGGGAAGGACACACAGGTCTGCATCATGGACTGACACCACTAGAGTTCTGACCCCAATCTGACACCCCTCTGGTTGGAAGAGAAACACCAGGGATCGGGTTTTCCCCACCTCATTGAACTTCTTCCTCCCTTTTTTTTCCAAAGGAAAGAAAATATCTTTATTGGAATACTGTTCCCCTTTTTAATAATTGTTTTATTTTTTAATTACAGTTGACATACAATATTATGTTAGTTTCAGGTGTACAACAGAGTGATAAGACATTTATATAACTTACAAAGGGATCACCCCAATAAATTTAGTACCCATCTGACACCATATAGTTATTATAGTATTATCGACTTTATTCCTTATGCTATATTGTACATTCCCATGACTATTGTGTAACTACCAATTGTACTTCTTAATCCCTACCCTGTTCTCATCCCAAGCCCCCTCCCAGCTGGCAGCCATCAAAATGTTCTCTGTATCTATGAGTTTGTTTCTGTTTTGTTTATTTTGTTCTTTAGATTCCACATATAAGTGAAATCATATATAGAATTTGTCTGTCTCTGTCTTAATCCACTCAGCACAATACGCTCTAGGTCCATCAGTTGTTGCTTATGGCAAGTTTTCATCCTTTTTTATAGCTGAGTAATATTCCATTATACATATGTACGACCTCTTCTTTATCCATTTATTCAGTGATGGACACTCAGATTCCCTCCATATCTTGGCTATTGTAAATAATGCTGCAATGAACATATGGATGCACATGTTTCTTTGAAGTAGTATTTTGGGTTTCTTCAGATAAATACCCAGAAGTGGGATTACTGACCTTCTTTGCCTGTTATAGCCTTTGTATTAAAGTCCATTTTGTCTGGTATAAGTTTTGCTACTCCAGCTTTTTGTTTGTTTCCATTTTTATGAAATATCTTTTTCCATTCCTTTACTTTCAGTCTGTGTGTGTGTCTTTCAATCTGAAGTGAGTCTCTTGTAATGCGTATGTAAGAGTCTTGTTTTCTTATCCATTCAGCCACCCTATTGTTTGATTGGAGCATTTACTCCATTTACATTTAAAGTAATAGTTGATATATACTTATTGCCATTTTATTATTTACATACATATATTTTTTCTTCTTGTTAAAGACCCTCTAACATTCCTTGTAATATGGGTTTGGTGATGATGAACTCCTTTAGCTTTTTCTTGTCTGGGAAGCTCTCTATCTGTCCTTCGATTCTAACTGATAGCTTTGCTGGGTAACGTAATCTTGGTTATAGGTCCTTACTTTTCATCACTTTGAATATTTCATGCCAATCTCTTCTGGCCTGCAAAGTTTCTGTTGATAAATCAGCTGACAGTCTTATGGGAGCTCCCTTGTAGGTAGCTAACTTCTTTTCTCTTGCTGCTCTTAAGAGACTCTCTTTGTCTTTAATTTTAATTATGATGTGTCTTGGTGTGGGCCTCTTTGAGTTCATCTTGTTTGGGACTCTCTGTGCTTCCTGGGCTTGCATGTCAATTTCCTTCACCAGGATAGGGAAGTTTTCTGTCATTATTTCTTCAAATAGGTATTCAATTCCTTGCTCTCTTCTCCTGGTACCCCAGTGATGCAAATGTTAGTATGCTTGATATTGTCCCAGAGGTCTCTTAAACTATCCTCATTTTGGGGGGGAGGGGGTTTGCTGTTCTGATTAGGTGTTTTCTGGTACCCTAACTTCTAAATCTCTGATTCGATCCTCTGCTTCATCTAATCTATTGTTGATTCCCTTTAATGTATTATTTGTTATTGTATTCTTCATTTTTTTTTTAATGTTTTCTATCTTCATTTTTATGTTTCTGATCTCTTTGTTAAAGTTCTGAGTTCATCTACTCTTTGCCTAAGTTCATTGAGCACCCTTATAACCAGTTTTGAACTCTGCTTTTGGTAGATTGCTTGTCTCCATTTCATTTAGTTCTTCTTTGGAGCTTTGTTCTGTTCGTAAATTTGGGACATGTTTCTTTGTCTCCTCATTTTGGCAAACTCCCTGTGCTTGTTTCTATGTATTAGGTAGGGCTGCTGTCTCACAGTCTTAGTAGAGTGGCTTTCTATAGTAGATTCCTGTGGAGCCCAGTAGCCGTCTCCCTGGTCACCTGAGCCGGTGCTCCAGGTGTGTCTCTTGTGTGAGTGTGTGTGCCCTCCTACTGTAGTTGAGCTTTGGTTGCTGTTTGCACATCAATAGTAGGGACTAACCCTACTAATAGTAGGGAGGACTGGCCATGACTACAGTGGAGGAGCTGTTGTGCAGGGGCTGACCCTATGGATCAGGATTCACTTTAGCAGGGCTCTGGTGCCTGCCCAGTGTGCCCTTTGTTTATGTTGCCTGTGGAAGCTGTCAAGTGGTGATCCAGCTGGCTCTGAAGCTGGCCACCAGGTGTGCCAGCCCCAGGGCCTCTTGGGAGGGGCCCCACCACAGGCCAAGTTCAGCAGCAGCCTGTGCCCTGCCCAGGGCCACCTCACATGAGCCACAAAGCAATCCACAGATGGCCGCCACCTGCACTGTGCTTGGAGGTCCGTGGGAGAGGCCAAGCCACAAACCAAGGCCAGCTGCCACCAATGCTGGGCTTGGGGATGCTCAGCAAGAGGTATGGGGCACACCGAAGCCAGATGCTGCTTGTTTGGGGTTTGTGAACTTCTGAGAGATTTTAGGAAGTCCGCAGCATGAGCCAAGACAGGCTGTTTGTATGGAAAAGCCACTGGAAGCGGCTTGGGTGGGTCTGAAAGTTGGGTGGGGCAGGGACTCAGGGAATCACCAAAGTGGGTAGACAATGATAGCCAGGTTGATGGAGACTCAGAAATGGCAGCAGCCTGAGTCTGCATGCTGGATGAGGGGAGGGCTCAACAAAGAAATAATGGCTTCTGCCAGCTCCTCCATCCGGGAGAAAGCTGTCCCTCCAGCCCTTACTCTGAAGCCAGACAGTTCAGTTCCTCCCTGTATGTCCCTGGTGCCTTTTGAACTGCTGCCTCAGCACTGGAACTCAGAGTGAGTGAGTCTATCAGTGAGTAAGTCTATGCATGGGCCCTTTTAGAGGAATTCCTGGGATTCCAGCAGCCCTCTGTCTCACTCGCCCACAATCTGCACTGGTTTTCACAACCAGGTGTTATGGGGACAGCACTGGAACCCTAGGCTGGGGAGCTTTGTGTGGGGCTAAGACACCTTGCTCCCCCAGGGGGAACCTCCACAGCCAAGATATCCCTCCCGATTTTTAACGGTCACATGCAGGAGTGGGACCAGCCCATTCCATGTCTCTGCCCCTCCTGCCAGTCTCAAGGTACTTCTTCTGTATGTCCTTAGTTGTAGGACTTTGGTTCAGCTAGACTGCAGGCTGATTCTCAATGATGATTGTTCTGTTTAGTTTAGTTGTATTTTGATGTCAAACTAGTTCTACCCTTATTGCTCATTCAGATATACTGAGCACCTACTTATGTCAGGTACTGTGCTGGGCTTTGGGATAAGACATTCTTATTTAAGAATCAAATATGATATGTTGCTTGCAAAGGGTTCATTTGAGTGGCCCCTGTCTATTTCTACTGCCCTAAAATTAAATACTTACTTCTGCTCAAATCCTGAGAGAGAAAGGTAGTGAGGAACAGGGGAAGGAAAGTGAACAGACAGGTCACCCCAGTTATACTTATCGCCCTATGACTGCGCCTTGATCCCAGAGTATCACCCCCCTTTCCTTTCAGTTCCCGTACCTGACCCTTGGCCAGACCCTCGAAGCCGTCATGCACAACCAGGACTCGGTTGCCCAGTATGAGGCCAATTCTCACAGTGGAGCGGACGGCAGCATTCATGCCTGCAGCCGGGGCCCCCACATTCATCACGGCCACCGTGTGCAAGCCAGTCTGTGGAGAAGGAAACAGAGAGGGAGCAGGAGAAAGAGGGGGACAGGTCAGTAAGGAAGCTGAACTGAGTCCCTTATGGTCCTGAGATCAGGACATCTACCTGACAGCACACACCCCTCTCTCAGGGAACGCCAGCACACCATGCTATTCTTTATCATAAATCAACAAAGCACGCTGCTGTCCTGATCCCAGATATCATTCTATAATGAATAAGAGACCTTCCAAAGCAGCATCTCCCAACATGTGATTCATGGACCACCTGCAACAGAATCCGACTAGGGAGCTTGTTAAATCTGCAGCTTCCTGGTCCCTACCCTAGATCTAAATCCCCTCTGAGGGAGGGACTCAGGAATCGGCATAGCAACCTAGATAATTATGATATACATTAAATACTGAGAACCACTACTCCAATGGAAGAGGTGGCTTAAAGACACTTAGATGTGATTTTTACCAGATTTGCTCAGAGGAAATAATACCTAAGCCCCTTTTCCCATTCCTCGCATGCTATCTTGTCAGCGCTGAATTGGACATGGGTCTTAGGTTAGAGACATCCAGGGCACACTAAGAACACAGGGGTGGTATCTGGGGTGGCTAAGAAAAAAATTATCTTAGTTGGGTCAGGGAGTCAGCACTGAAGGTGATAGTGGGACAAAGAAGCTGGCGAGGCTGTAGGTAGTAGGAATTGGGAGAAGCACCTTATAAAGGGAAGCTGGGGGAAGGGGGAGGGACAGGGTCAGTGGGGAAAGCAAGCTGCCAGTACCTTAGATACTGGGGGTCTGACGTGAGCCAGAAGCTTGTATACCTCCCAGTTGTTCATGAAGCTCCTGTTAAAAGTACAAAGAGAGAGAGCGGTCTCTTCAGGCCATTTCCCCAGGCCAGCAGCCAAGGGGATCAGGTCTGAAGTTTTGCTCCCAGCTGAAGTTCCACAGGGCAAACCTCTGGGGAACATAACTGCGGCAAAAGCAGGGATTGGGCAGGGACTGCAAAGGAGCCACTAATTCATCAAACATTCCTGACACTCTTCCTCCAGGCTCAGCACAAGAGACTGCCTCTTGCCCAGAGAAACTTATAACCTAGCTGGGATCCACATATAGGAAATAACAGATTATAAAAGGCCAATCTCAGGGAGGGCATCCTTGGGATGAACTAAGCCTCCTTGTCACCTCACAACGAATTCTCTTAGGGAAGAAACTGTTGCAGAAATAGTAAGAAGAAGAAGAGGCAGAAGCTGATATTTTGGGTCTGAAGCTATGTTGACTTTTGGCTTCATTTCAGCATCTCATTTCTGTAGCTAGCGAGCTTCCGGTCATTTCCTCACCGGCCTCTCAGCTTCATGGCTTCCTCAAATTTCTTCTCATTCATGGCCTTGGTCACGTCTTTGGTCTGAGGAGGAGCACAGAAACAGTCACGACTCCAGGGAAGGTTCTCCACAGCTGGATTCCCATCCCATGGGGAGACTGCCCATCTCTGGGCTTGTGTCTAGATCCTGCCCACTTTGCACCCCACCTTTTCTATGTGTCCCCCAAACTTTCACAGAAGAAGAATTTTTTGTTTTTCCTTAATTTTCCGAGTAATGAGCAGCAAAAGAATAGGGCTGATTCAATGCTCTATTTATTAGAATATGGGCAGTGGAGGAATACTCACAAATAAAATAGCATCTGCTTCCATTTCACAGAGCCTCAAAGTAGCCTATGAACTAGCGAGTGAATGAAGGAGATCCTGCAGATAGCCCAGTTAGGGAGAAAGGCTAATCCTTGCCATGTGCTTCCCAACTACTGATTTCTGCTCTGTGAGCTCTAGCTGTGGGGCATTTAGAGATATAGTTCCAAGCAAGGCCTGTCTGGGCTATAGGTCACTGGAACCCCTGAGTCTCAGAGAGAAGCAGGCCACAAGGTGGGGCGTATTCAGGCCAGACACCTGAGCTCCCAGCCACAATGTTTGCTCGGTGGTATCAGTGATTCTTTAACAGTAAGAGCCGCAACATTTCCTGAGCATTCATCAGTTTCCGGGCACTGCATCAGACCCTTTACATATCTTCTCTCCAATCCTTCTAACAACCCTCAAGGTGAGTATCAGTACCTCATGTTGGTCCAGAGAAACATGGCCAGGGTAGAAATTCAGAGAAAGATTTAAGCTACCCTGCCAGACCTTAAGACTATTCCCCTGCTTTTAATAAAGTTTAGAGAGATATTGCATTTCTCTTTCAACAAAGACATGATGAAAGCATTTGAGGTTGGATATTATGAGATAATGGGTCTCATTACTAGGTAGGATGTAGTCTCCCATCTTCTTTAGGAACATTTCACAGATGGAGAAACTGAGGCTTAGTAAGAGAGGGTACAGCTGCTGTGCAAAGCCCACTGCTTTCTTTTCCCATGTCTCTTACTCCACTGCGCTGCCTTTCCTTCTGTCCTGTTCCAGCAGCCTTGGAAGTTGGATCTCTTTCCCCATAAACTCCAGCTCAGAGTCAGGGGCTTGGAGTTGTTAGAAAGGGGCGTCGAGGTCAGTACTTACCACCTGGACACACTCCATGAGGGGCAGGCGCACAGCCTGGTTACCAGAGAGGCTCACTACACAGGCTGGGGTATCTGGGGTCCCCTCCAAAAGTGCCATCACTGCTTCCACACCCATCCTGCTGCCCTGCAGGAACCCAGGGAGAAAAGACAGTCTGGTTCAGGCCCCTGCATCTTGGGTTGGCCTGGATAGCCAGGGCACTCAAAGCCCTTACCAACTCATAGGGTTGAGTTCCACGTTGGACTATAGCCAAGAACATATTGGGCTTTATCTGCCTACCCAGATTTCATCTAATGCTTCATGACTCTTCATCTTCTTGCCATCAGAACCCCAAGGGTTCTACCTGATTCCAGAAAAACATGTCCACCATAGGAGTCAAGGGGATCAATGAGGCTTAGTAATATTCCCTTCTTATTGATTAAACAAGGAAGGCTATTGCATCTCTGAAAGTAGATAGAATAAGAGGGTTCAAACTGAATGTCTGAGGGTAGATCTTATTAACTTCACTAATGCTCATAGGTCTAAGATATTATCCCTCACCATTGGGGGAGCATATAGTTTCCCATCACTATTTGCAACAGAAGAGAACTCTTGAGTGTGTGGGAAAGGGCCAAGGGCCACTGCAGTCCAGAGGCTGGTTGGTGGGCAGCATGAGCAGTGGTTTAAGGCCCTGTGCTGATGAAGTGCAGTCCTGCAGGGGAAGGACAGCAAGCTGAGGGTTCTAAGGCAGGAGGGCCCCAGAGCCCCAGGACTTACCAGGATTCGGTCGAAGGCAGACGGTGTCCCACCCCGCTGCACATGCCCCAAGACAGTGACCCGGGTGTCATAGCCCAGACGCTTTACCACCAGCTGAAGCGACCAAGAGAGGGACAGAGAAAGGGATATAGAAAGTCAAAGAGAAAACTAACAGATGTAGATAAACCACGGACGACTTGGCCTCTTATCTTATAATGATTCCTGAGTGGGGGGCAGGAAACCTGGGGAGAGATGCGCAGGACTACAGGGGGACTCAGAAATCACTAGGGAATGGGGCCGGGGGTGGGGAAGGTGTCCAAGACCTCTCTGGCTTCATTCATACTAACATTCTTGATGTCTTCTGAGGTGATTGGTTTCCCTTGCTTGTCGATCGCACCCTCAGCCACAATGATGATGTTGAGACGAGAACCACGGGTCCTTGTCTGGTCAAGCACAAAGAGAAAAATGGTCAGTGGAATGAAACTGATGGATAGGAAATGGTCCATCAGTGGAACAGGGTGAGAGATTTAAGGGCAAAGAAAAAGTGTCGGTACCTCGCTGAGCCGGCGACAAAGATGGTCCTCCCAGTCATCATCTGGTGGACATTCAGGAATAAAAACCCAGTCGGCACCACAGGAGAGAGAAGTGACAAGGGCCAGGTATCTAAGATGAGAGCCAGAAGCATCATGTTAGGAGCTCTGCTCCGCAAATAGCCTCACCCGTACCCAGCAAGTTCACAGGTCCCCATGTTGGTGAAGGGACGGAGGATACTCCATTTCATTCTTGCGGTCAGGGTAAGAGCACCGTTGAGACAGCTTCTCAATGAGATTCTGTCCCTGGAGAGCACCTTCTGTACCCGCTGCAGTGGCTCCTAATCGCAGAGCACTGTCTGTCCGTTCACACTGTGTGTGTGTCTGTGCAAGTACACACATGTACACACGTATACACACATGCACAGGTCGGTATGTTTGGGGGCAAAGCAGAGACAGGGAAAGGAGCCACACCAAGAGGAGCAGGGCCACCTCCAGATCTGGTACCACTGGGAGATTTCTCTGGACTCCCCAGGGAAGAGGAAAGGACTATTGCTGGGTCCACAGGATAAATGAGTCAAGATGGGGAGCTTACCCACAGTGCCGGCCCATCACTTCTAGCACAAACGTCCGCTGGTGGCTGAAAGAGACAGATACTTTACACAGTCCAAGTGGCCAGAATCAAGCTGCCACCCACATTTAGGCCAAGTAACCTCTCTGGCAGATGCATGTATGCTGCTAGGCCTTCCAGCAGGTTTCCTAAGAGAACAGGAAGACCTAGGGGAAAGATTTTAGCCACAGGGTATCCTTCCTAGGCCTGAGAAAACACAGCAGTAAAAGGTATCAACACTGAGGCTCTGCTCCAGGGAGGGATAGGGTCCAGGAAGGGAGGGAGAGAAAGGGAAAAGAGGAGAAGAGAGGACTCGACTAACCTGGAATCCTCTAGGATTCCCCTGGGGTAAACTGCTAGCCTTTTACCTTCCCATTCTCCCACACTGCCTCCCAGTACCCTAGCCTCTAAGCAGTGGTGGTAATGGCCTCCACAATCGCTATAGTGTGGTTGCAAAGGGTGGCTCAGGTTTTGGGCTCCCTGGATTTGTCTCAGTCTGGACACTAATCATTTGGGAGACCCCACAGGTATTAAAGACCTCAGAGGTACATGTTTAGACAGTGAGCTAGACAGTGGCAAGAGGCAAAACTTATAGCATTTAGAGGGCAGTGTAATTTCAGTGCTCTATGGATAATTCCTGGTTAAAAATGTGTTCTAGCCTCAGAAAAGTAGTCATTATAGTCACCACAGCTCAAACACTTTAATCTTCTCTATCTCCTAGCCCTTTAGCCTGTCCCAGCTGCCTCCCCCCAATTCCCTTACCTCTGAGCAGTGGTAGTGATGGCATCTACAATCTCTATGATCCGATGCAGGGCAGAGTCAGTGCCAATGGTCATATCGGTGCCACAAAAGTCATTGTCAATTGAGCCAACCAGGCCCACGATGTTCAGGTAGCTGGACTTCATAGCCTCCTCAGCCGTGATCTTACCTGACAATGGGAACAAACCAGGAGCCCCTGGGTGAGGTGCCTGACATGCCTAAGGAACAGATGACTGCAGACAGAAGGAACTGTAGCCAATGGGAATTGTAAGCAATGGAAGAAAAAGGCGGGCAAAGACTGCCTATTTGTGTCTGGGTAACAATTTTCTCCAATGGGAGGTAAGGGGTGTACTCTTATATGTGCAGCCACACAAACAATACTGATGAGAACAATGTCTCACCTGCTTTCTGGAGGTCACTCAACAAGTCGCTCCACTCAGAACGGAAGGTGTCGGCCCCAGTGAGGCTGCCATCGCCACCAATGACACACAGATTGGTGATCCCAAGTTTCACAAGGTTGTAGGCAGCTCGGAGTCGTCCCTCTCGTTCCCGGAAGTCCTTGCACCGGGCACTTCCAATCACCGTGCCTCCCTTTGGCGAAGAGGTAAAAGTCAGCTCGCTAGATGACACAGTCAAATGTGGGCTCCACATGCTAACATTTCCCCACTATTCCAACACCGCGATGGGCTGACAACCATCGATGTGGCTCCCTAGGAAGTTCCCTGACATCTTTAAGAGTCATATGTCCCTTCTAAAGGAAAGGGGAATGATGTCGGCTGGGATATCACAGCATCATTCTTATATTCTGCTACACCTCTTGGAAGGCTGCTAAAATCAACCCATTTCCTTTAAGGCTTTGTCACCAAAGTGATTATCCTCAAAGAGAACAAGGGAATCATACATGTCTGTTGGCTTTTGAAATAATCTCCATCTTTCATATCTTTTTAGAAGTGTAAGAAGAATGAGCAGGGACTTCAGTTTTTGGAAAGTCTCCCGACTGGCCCGACATTGCTGGATTGTGTTCATGTGCCTGGTCGTATTTTCCCCCCTCTGCCACACTGTGATTTCTAATTGTAACTAGGTACTACCAGTCTTTCCCCTTTGCTCCTTGGGATCCATGGTGCTAATGGATGGAGCCATAGCACCCAGGTAGTCACAGAAAAAACAACTCTGGGTATAGAAGCCTCAAATTTCCAGGGGCTTATAGATTACCCCAAGAGAAGTAGATATACTGAAGGTTTTAAAAAATCATATAAGCTCCTGACATCCAGGACTTCAGGGGTACTAATGGAGAATTCGGGCTCATTCTCAGATCACGTTACGGCAGGCACCATCACCTGTATAGAACCTTCATTACGCACTGCACATTAAATGTCTTCCCATGGATTTGTAGGGATTGAGGTAAAGAATGGGGATACAAATGTAATTTGTAGATTTTTTTCAGTAAGCTAGAAAATGGCTATATAATGACTTAGAGAAAGTAGCAAAAAGGGCTGTGGATATGATCGGGATATTCTTAGTTTTTTTTTGAAACTGTGAAAGGCTCTCTGGGTTCCTTCCTCCCTTAAATGGTCTGGTTTCAGGTCACCTCATCACCATCACATGAGGACTGGCAGATTTCAGTTCTACTTCTGGCTCTGGCTCCTGTCCTCTGCTAAGGTTATTTTCAGGGCCAGACCTTCCCCGTGACCCCAGGACTTGTTTATGTGCTAGTTCCCCAAGTCTTGCCGATGAGCTTTAAATAAAGAGCAAACTGTCCTGTGATCACATCCCCACTCCCTATCCCACTCTAGGAAACCAGGGTGTTATTTTCACATGTAAAGAGCAAGGGGCAAACATAGCCCCTGACTTGTCACTGAATCCCTTTCCATCAAACCATGTGGCAGGGAATTTGGGAAACCATAAGCCCAAACCAAAGAGAGGTGAGACAAGGACAGCAAATATACGGGATAGGAATCCTCTGGAACATACCAGCTGAAGCATCATTGAAACGCTCTCCCAGGTGGCTTCCCGGATGTGGTTCCCACCATCCACCAGGCCTTGATAACCCTGTGGGGCACATTATACTCATTCAGCATTGGTTAGGCTTCCCCTTAGACTCCCAGGATTAAGGCAGGATCCCTGGGAAGTGGTTCTCTGAGAATCAAGTCGCCGCCTCCCATTACTGATTTCTGGAGGCCTGTGAGATTACCATACTTAACACAGTCCAAGGAAGGCAACGTTAACTTTTTCAATACCCTTTTAGTCTCTCCCATTCTTGATGTCCTTCCTCATATTTAATCTTAATTCCTCTTGTTCTTGGCTCATCCCATTTCCTCCAATCTGCTTCCCAGGGGAACTAGATAACAGATGGTTTTAGTAACAACAGAGGGAAAGAGAAAGGGATATTGCAGGGACGGAGGGGAATATGACTTGAAAAGAAAAGATAAGAGACTATGAAATTTGAGAGAAGAAAGGCAGGTAGACCTTTCCTAAAGAAGAGTAGACACAGAATGAGAGGGAACAGAAAGAAGGGAACCAAAGAGGAGTTAGAACCTCAGAAAGAAGGCAAGTTACAGAAACCTAGCGAGACTCTTCACTCCTAAGGCTCTCTCAGTGGAGAGACTCAATTTGTTGTGAAACACTAATTCATTTCAGCTTCTCTCTGTGTTTTGGGGGAGGTAGAGGAAGATTGTTACTTCTTGCCTTAGTTACTAAAATGAACAGACAACATGAGGACCCAGGATCCCACCATCGTTACAGTGACTCATGTAGATAAGGAGCCAAGACAAATCAGACATAGCAATGTAACTGGGAGGTAAGGAGAGAAAAAGTGGGGAGAGGGAAGGGGCAGGTTAGGCAGACAACAGAGAAAGAATGATGGAGAACAAAGCAGAGAACCAACCTCATGGACAAAGAAGACACGGGCACCAGTAAAAATACCAACTCGAACCACAGCCCTGACAGCAGCATTCATACCTGGATGGAGGGAAGAAAGAAGTCAGGGACAGGTTACACCTAAGAAAAGCAGCCCTGGGCTCCTAAGATATGAGACAGTGCTTTTCTTAGGCTTTTCTGTGGATCTAGAATATTCCTCTCATCCAAGTTTCTGGCCTCCCCATACACACTGAATTACTATATTCAATGTTAATGTAGTTCTACATACCCCCCATTTATTATATCTCCCATCCCCCCAAATCCTGTCTTTCCTGAGATTTTCCTTGCCAGTGCAATCTGTGAAATAATAATCTTGAATGTTTATTGTGTTAGACACTGTTAAGTGCTTGTCAAACATCATCTCTTTTAATCTGGAGTTGCCTCCATTTTACAGATTTCGAAACTGAAGTGTGAAGAGGTCACGGTCACAGAGCTAGTACTTAGAAAAGCTCAGATTTGAATTCCAAAAATGCCTAAACCAACACTACTGACCTCCGTGTGTACCCTCCTAATCCCAATGGCTATACTAGGTTTTCCCTTGCCTTTTGCACTGAATCTAGACATTCAGCTTTGGTAGGCTTTTCAGGACAAAGACATGACACTCTGAGGCTCAGTGACCTGACCAGTTAATTACAATCTGTTCATGAGTATGTCCATTACTAGTTGGTGGATTCTACCAGTCTCCACACATACACAGCTTTTTAGTTTCATTGGAGTTAGTGTACGAGGTGTAAAAAAAAAATATGGTGAATGTTTTAATAAATTAAAAAAATTTATTACAATAAAAGACACATTGCCCTTAATCCCCCTCAAAATACTCCCCCTTGCTTTGAACACACTTATCCCATTGTTCTTGCCACTTTCTGAAGCAGTTCTGGAAGTCCTCTTTCGTGAGTGTCTTTAATTGCCCTGTCGTGGCTGCCTTGATGTCCTGAATCAATTAAAAATGTTTACTTTTGGGCCAGCCGAGTGGCGCGATGGTTAAGAACTGCCTTGGGATGCCAGAGGGCCCCGGTTCAGATCCCACATATGAGGGCCAGTGACACTGCCCTCCACAGCTAAGATGCTGAACAACAGATCAACCTGGAGCTGGGCTGCCATGAGTCGCCGGCGACGGCATAGGCTGCAGCCCCTTTGGCAGTGGGTTGCCATGGGCTACCGAATGCAGCTAGCAGCCAGCATGAGCAGCGGTCCAGAAGCTGGCGACTGATCTGCCTCGCCCAGGCAAAGCACAATGATGGTGTCAACTTGGGCCAGTGAAGCAACATCCTCCACAACTAGACTGAAGAACAAAATGACAGCAACTTGTCTGTTCCCCTTCCCCCAATTCCCCAATAAAAATCTTAAAAAAAAAAAAAAAGTTTACTTTTCATGGTCATTTTGACTTTGGGAAAGAGCCAGAAGTCATACGGTGCCAGATCAGGTGAATAAGGTGGATGAGGACACACTGTAATGTTTTTGACAGAAATTGCCATACCAGAAGCGATGTGTGATAGAAAGCCTTTCTGTTTTGATTTTTAAAAATATGGTGAATGCTGCTGCTGAGTGCCATCCAATGAAAAGGCAGAGATATTCAATAGGGGAAGCAGCACGAGGAACCTTAGTAACAGTGTGTGACAAGTTTCAACTTGTTCGATGCAGTCAGTTGAGTGTGAGCTATGATTCAGTGAAGGTGTGTTTTAAAGTGTGCCATAAATCATCCTCCATCATGACAAAGCTCTGTTTCACACATCGCTTCTGGTACGGCAATTTCTGTCAAACAAAAACATTACGATGTGTCCTTATCCATCTTATTCACCAGGTCTGGCACCGTGCGACTTCTGGCTCCTCCCCAAAGTCAAAATAATTCAGGACATCGAGGCAGCCACCACAGCGCAACTAAAGACACTCAAGAACGAGGACTTCCAGAACTGTTTTAGAAAGTGGCAAGAACAATGGGATAAGTGTGTTCAAAGAGAGGGGGAGTATTTTGAGGGAGATGAATGGCAATGTGTCCTTTATTGTAATACATTTTTTTATTTAAACATTCACCGTATTGTTTGATCACACCTTGTATGTTCCAATGTGTACCACACAGTTGAGATTCCTCTGGCTCGTAATGTGAGGAGGAACTCATGGTGATGTTCAAGGAATCTTAGAGCCATAAGAGATCAACTTCATATGAATCATTCGAGATACTCCAGTATTTTGTTTCAATCTAAAATCTCTTCACATGGTCCTTTACCCCACCTGGGGAAATATCATATACCAGTAAGCATAAGAGAAGCCAGTAATTAGAAAAATCTGCAGTACCAGACTAAAAATCTATTACAAACTATTGCATAATCCAAAGCTATCTGGAAAGGATTAGAATAAAAAAGACCAGAATGTCTGTTTTGTTTTGTTTTCAGGTTGACCAAGGTTGGTATCATATGGCTATTAGCTCCAAATCAAATTGAAGGTCCATTCACTCACTGAACAAATATTTATTGAATACCTATCTGTCCTGGCACTATGTAGGCACTGGGAATATAGCAGAGAATGATACAGAGTCTGGAGATACAGAGATACAGGACTTGGAAATGGTGCTCAAGACCTGTGAAGAATTATAACATAGTGACAATATGGATCCCTATGAAGGAGATTTGTACGAAGTGCAGTGGAAACAAGGAGAAGGACCATCTCAGCTGCCAGAAAGAAATTTGGGGAGGCTATACAGAAAAGATAGCATTTGTCCTGAGACCTAAGGGACAATTTTCTTTTAAATCTTTTTGTCAGATGGACAATTTGGGGGAAAGCATTCTAGGCAGGGAGACTAGCACAAATAAAGGTGAGTGTCAAGCAACAACCTTGAGTAATTCAGTATTATAAAGAATAAAATATAAGGTAGGAAGTGGTGAGAGATGAAGCTACACAGGTGGGCAGGCACCTGTATGCCACTCGAAAATGTCTGGCTTATATTCTGTAGGCCAGTGTTTGACTAAAGATCTACGGGTGATGGTTTTGTGGGCGTGGACATTTCTTTCTTGGAGACGGTCCATAGCTTTCACTTGATTCTTAAAGGGACCTATGACCTAAAAAAAGGAGTTGCAAACAATGGACAATCGTTGAAGAATTTTCAGAAGAGAGACAGGATGAGATCTATGTATCAGAAAGATCACTCTGGCAATCAATGTGGTGGTGATTGAAAGAGGTGATACCAGGATTAGATGGCTATCAGGCAGCACAGACAAAAAATGATGAGGGCCTAGAGTGGAAGAGTGACATTTGTGACAAAACAGAGATAGTGGACAGGAGACACCTAGGGAACAGAAGCAACAGGACCTACGTCTAATCAGCAATGTGATTAGACTTCAAAGTTTTGGAGGGGAAGAAGGAGATGCCCATGATTGACTCACGCAAAGGGTAAAACTGAGGTGCAATTAACTGAGCAAAGGCAGGTTTTGATTTGGGAAGGTGAGGTTGGAGACGATACATTCATATTTGGATATGTTGAGTTTGAAGTTCCTGTGGGACATTCATGTGGACTGGGAGAGATTATCTCAAGAGAATATGTAGTTAGAAGGGAAAAGGGAGAGGAATGGAAACCTGAGGAAGACCAACATCAAAGGAATGGGCAGGGGAAAAGGGGTTCCACGAAGGAAACCGATAATGAGCAACAAGGAAGACAAAAGGAGAACCAGGACTTAGCAGCAATGTCTTAGAAGCCAAAAGGGACAGTTTCAAGAAGTCAGAACAGTGTCAAATGCTTCTGATAATTGATCTACCATCGGAACTGCAAGGTTGGGCTTGCCAACAAGAGGTCATGGGTGAGCACTGATGTCAAAGCTTATTTACGACATCACTGAGGCAAAGCCCCATGAAGGCTACGAGTCTAAGTTCACACCCTCAAATTTAAGGTATCAAAACTGAAGAATCTGTGAAGGGAGAGGACTTCTCCGAAGCTTTAGGAAACGCCTATGTGCATGAAAAGAACGAGGTCAGAGTCAATGCAAAGCCATCAATGCTTTAGGAAAGATGAATAAAGTCAGTTCAGTAAGATCGAGACAGATATGAAACTATTGTTTCTTTTCTAGACTTTCACAAGGTCTATGGGATTCTCTACTGGATACCTGGAGTTCTGGGGTATGAATTTATAATCTTAAGATAAACAAAAACCATTTTTCTGAAATGTATAGCTTAGAACACTGTTTCTTGCTTTTGAGCTGAGTAAGGGTAGAGGAGAAAAGATTTAAGAAAACCAAATGACTTAACAGGTATTAACTGTAAAGCAAACAACAGATGGTGGGCATGAAATATCCAAGTCCATTAGGCAGAAGAAAAATCCCACAAGAAAAGTAGATTTTTTTCTCTTCTCGCCTCCCTCTGCCTCCTTCTTACCTCAACCCTATCAACCTCCAAAGGTCATCCTTCCTGCCTCTAAATTGGATACCTAACTATTTTCCTAGAAATTAAGTTTTAGGATTCCCTTTATGCTCCTGGATGTCTCAAACCCCTAGTTCCTTAGGAATCAGACAGGGATGTATAGAGAGCTTATACTAACTAGGGAGTCCCACTAATTCTTTGGGCTCTCCTATCCAACCTCATTGGCCTCTTCTGGCCCCGGGCCAGTCCTGGCCAGGCTCCCCTTGGCTGTTCCATGTTGCCCTAAATAACCCTCTATGAGCAGCTGTCTGACTTATTAGAAGCAAGATGAAGGATAAGATTACAGGGAGTATTCTGGGTTCTGGAGAACATCAGAAGCATGTACTTTGGAGTCTCTAATTACATACAGCCTGTTGGAAAGAGGCTTTGGGGAGAAGAACTATGGGTGATGGCTCTCTATAAGATGAGACAGAAAAAAGTAATAAATGACTTGGTCACTACCTTTTTGAAAGCAGATGCCAAAGAGTTTCTACCTTAACTGAACTTTGAATAAGAAAAGAATTCTTTAATTCCAACATGAGGAATAAATGTTTATTAGATGTGAATTATACTTTCTGATAAATATGAAATTAAAAATCATAAATCCTAGAACAGCAATCCAGAGATAATAGAATCCCTGTTCCTGTAAACCTATAAAAACAGGATGAGTATGCATTTGGGATGGACTGCCTGTTTGAAGACAGGGAGTATATAGCAAACGATTGAGGTCCTTTCTGGCAGAATATGCGGATTTCATAAGGCCAAATGTGGCATGGTTTAGGGGGGCCTGGGGCCTGGAATGAAGATTAGGATTTGGTATCTAACCAGCCTAGCTTCTGAGTTCAGGATGTCTCACTCCTGTCCATTCTTTTACTTTAAGAGGTTATTAGCTTTGCTAAGATCAGGGAATGACAGAGCTATGGCCACCATGGATCTCACATTCCAAGTGACCCATAGCCTCTAGGGAAAACACATTTCTGTGCTCTCCCCCTGGGAGAACTAGGGACCATTAAACTTATCTCTGGGCAGGTCGTTTCTGATTTGAGCCGCTCTTTCAGGTGGGACCTCTTGCTCTACTTTGAGTTTTCTGCTTTGCTTCCCTGCCTCCCGTGAATTTCATCCTCTACCACTCTCAGTGCCTACTGGCATGCATCTGTGATGTTATGTGGACTCGCAATGGGATATCTCCCTGGGTACACCATGTCTGTCACAGAATGCCAAAGGCCTTGTCCCAGCTGAGCCCTCCAGAAATCAGCTTATCAATAGCTCTGCCTCCATGAAATATGATCTTTCCCTTAAAGCAGGTGATGGTCATCTCTATAATAAGAGGGTCTCTCTGCTCAGGATCAGAAGCTAGAAGAGCCCGGATGCTTTTTTTTTTTTTTTTTGCCCCCTTTTTGTTTTACCTCTTTCCCTTCCCAAAGAGCTCTTGCTTTTCATAATTTCATAACTCTGTTTGGCTCATTTGGATTTTTTAGCAGGTTCTTGCTTCCCCCAATCTGACAATCCAATTCCACAGGCCATCCTACCAAGGTTTTAGGATCAACACTCAGAGTTTATGTTGAAAAACTCAGTATTGGCATGGAATTCTCTCCAGGAGACAAGAGAGAAGCGACAAAAGCCAGGTCAACAGTCTCTACAGCCTCAACTAGGGTCTGCATTCCTAATCTGGCCACTAGCCTTAAACTCAGACCTCTGTGCCCGCCTTCCTCAGCTTCCTCATTCTAGCATTCTCCTATTCATAATATATATCACAACTATAATTAAATAAACACCAGCTTAAAATACACTTAACGTCTGGTTTACTAATATACTAACGAGAAGGATAAGAGCAAAGACAATGTGTGACTTTTTCATTAATGTATCCATCCTTAGTACCTACATTCCTGCTTGGCACACAGCAGGTGCTCAATAATTCACCTTTATTTAATTAGCAACACATTTATGGAGTACTTACTATGTACCAGGCACTGTTCTAAGCACTTTAGTTAAATGAAGTGTTCAGTTTCTTGAAACCTACCTTCTCTGTGAAGCTTTCCCTGGTTAATCCAACCAGGGCCTAGCATTTCATTATATAAGTGGATTCCATCTGGTTAAGCATACTTGGTTATTGTTATTTCTGTGCCCTGCATAAGAATTCTAGTAATGTATGCTATCTTTTCTCATTAAACTGTAAGCTCCCAAAGGAAATCAGCTTCTTCACAACATAGGAGACAGGGCTCTATACCAAGTGGGTGCAAAACACGAAGTCTAGAAAAGCCTAGGGAGAGCAGTGCAGAGGGAAGGGGAGACCAGCTGAAATCTGTTTCTCTCTTTTTTTCATCACAGTCTCCATGTCCTGGTATCCCTTTCAAAAAGGTTTTGCCTCTCTTCAACATAGTGTGAATTAGAATATACAAGATCATCAAAGGAGACAAAAAGTAAAATAAGTCACACTTCCCCTATCTCCCACTTCATTTTTCCATATACCTGATTTTTCTGAGTCCCAGGTTTCTTAGACTCAACCCAGAAATGGGTTTTCTCTGGCTTCCTGTCTACCTGCCCACCCCACCACAGATCTGTACTGAACTGCTGCTGATCTGTGTGTTCAAGGGCTGAAGGGGTGGGAGGGGAGGAAAGGCCAGAGAAAATTGAATGAAGCAGAGCTGTGCCTTGTAGAAAAACATGAGCTGTAAGAGTAGGGCCTGGCCCTGGTCAGGGCAGGAACTCTGCAGACATCAGAGTTGGTACTGCAGATCTAGCTAGAGCCAACCAAATACCAACGCTGGGTGTCCCCTTTTCCCCACCATTTCCAATGAACTTGAAGTGAATCCACCTTCTGCCTTCTCAACAACTTTATGTCTTTAGTCTCTTTCTTTTCAATGTTGTTTGAGGAAACACCAGTCTTTCAGGTATCAAAGGACCCAAATCATCCCACATCTTCAGAGAAACTTGGAAAGAAGTTTTCTGAAGATTTGGGTAAATAAAAATAGAGCAATTAAATCCAAAAGCACTTGAGGACTTGGACCTGACAGAGATTTTTTTTTTTTTTAGAAAAGCCCAGGATTCCAGTATGAATCTATAGCAGGAGGATATTAAGGAGGATAGTTCTATTCTACTGGCTAAGGGGAGCCAAGAAACGCAAGGGGCCCTATCAGCCATGTTTATTTGTCACTAACCAAGCAGGACCCTCTTCCTTACCTTGGGCATCTCCACCAGAGGTTAACACGGCGATGGCCTTGCCGACCCCCAGGGTTCTGGCTGCATGATGCTCTTCATGGGTCATGATCCACTCTAGAATTCAAGAGAATGATCAGGTAAGACACTGCTGGATCACGGTGCTACGAGCTCTGGAAATGGCTCTGTTAAGACTGGATAGAGTCACCTCGGTCAGGCTCTCCCACTACACTAAGACTGGGCTGTGCAGCCTAAGAGCCTGGACTCCTTCCAGAGGAGAGCCCTGCCCCCACAGAGTGACAAGCTGAAATGTCACAGTAATCAAGCCCAAGGCTGCAAAAGTCCTGGCTAATCCTTCCCACCCCAATTGGAGCCTGTTTGGATAATAAGCAAAGGTTAAAGAGAAGGGCGGTTGACCGAACAGAAATGAGAAAGGAAGGAGGGAAGTTAAGTTAGCTCAAGGATTCCTCCCTTTTAATGAAGGGAAGGACTGTTGCAGAGGATAGGAATCAAATGAGAACCAGCAAAGCAGAAACAGAAAAGCGAGGGTAGGTTGGGTTATGGTTAAGATTACAGTTGGGTGTTATGGAATTGGGCTAAACTGGAATTGGAGTTCGAGGTTATAAAGGCACATTAGAGCTTGGACAAATTAATGGTGTCAGGCTCAGGAATGGTTGGGGAATTTTCTGTGGCTTTTCCTATTGCTGTCTGGCTCTCCACCTCCTGAGCATCTCTTGACCCTGTTTTCAAGCCTTGCCCCTCATACTACATACTATCAAATGAGAAGAGTAACACAAAATCACTGTCACAGATAACAGATATGCACACATGACATGTGAATACCTTCATATTTTTGTCTTTGGGGCTTATCTCTCTCAAAGAAACACACAAGACATACTTTTGTATCCACAAAATGCCAATAGAATCATCATTCTCCCAGTTATCCAGGCTAAAATCTATTATTTTAAAATTTATCTCCTCCTTACTCTCAGAATCAAAAGTTACCAAATCCTATTATTCTCCCTTCTCATTATCATCCCTTTTCTGTTCTTTTCTATCCTCATTGCCTCTTTCCACCTGAATTGCCTACCACAATGGCTGGTCTCCCTCTCCTTGTGTTTCCCTTTTTCACTCTATTAGAGACACAAAATAAACCTCCATGGGAAGGTCAGAGACCCCTGAGGCCTCAGTGGAAAGAGGATTCATTCAACATGAACAGGGGCTGATGACCTTTAAGCACAGCTCATGTTACTTCCATGAATCTGGGGAAATCAGTGTAGCTGCTGATAAAGACAAAGGTCACATAAACACACAGACCCACACATATGCCAATAAAATACATGCAATGAGATACTCATGAACACATACATACACCAATGCCCATAGTGTTATTAAGAGGCACAGATTCACAGACATAACTTCACATAATCAGTAATGACAGATCAAGTCCAACTTCTTGGGTTGGCATTCAATGCTTCCATGATCTAACCCTTCCCTAGAGCTTCAACCTTTGCTCCCATGAATTCTCTGTTTTATCATCACCTGAACATTACTTTGCTCCTCCTCACTTTTGTGTCGGGGCACACTGCATTCCTTTTCCATAGGGCTATCCAGTTCCTTATTGATCTGTGGGCCTTTTCCACAGATCAATACCCAACTCCATCATTTAAGACCAGTCCTAGTGGCACCCCTATTAAACCTATTAAGCTATCACTGATGACCACAGGTCAAGGAGGGCTTCTTTGGAGGCCTCCTCTAATCACATATTGTCCGGAACAGGGTCATGCAGGTAGTGAACTGGATCATTCACTTAATGACTACTTTATATAGTATTTTAATTGCTTGTTATGTATTGAAAATGTTAGACTAGATCAGGGGTTAATAAATCATAGCCCATGGGCCAAATCCAGCCCTCCTGCCGTTTTTGTACAGCAGCTATGAAAGGATTTTATATAATATTTTTAAATAATTGAAAAAAAGCTTTCATGCACGTGAAAATTACATGAAATTCAAATTTCTGTGTCCATACTACTCTCATTCTTTCATGTATTACCTATGACTGCTTTTGTGCTACAACAGCAGAGTAGATTATTGCAACAGAGACTGACAGCCTACAAAGCCTAAAATATTTACCATGTGGCCTTTCACAGAAAGCTTGCAGAACTCTGGACTAGATTGCTCAAGTCATTTTCCCTAACTAGACTGCGAATTCCTTCAGGAAGGGATCGTGTTCATTTTTAAAAACTCTTCCACAGCCTACCAAAGCCTAGTGAAGTCTATGCACATAACAAGAGTTCAATAAATACTTGCTGAAAGCATTAGTGAACTGACCAACAACACAAAATGCACACAAATATATGAAAAAAATTAAATGTTGAGATACAGCTCCATATTCTCTGCACTTCTAACACATACAGATACAAATGGAACCTAAGAAAGCACATAGTGCCAAATAATGAAAGAAATATAAACCCACATGGATAGAGACTTTCTATTGAACTAGTGTTCATGTCCAAATGTCTACTGTTCTCAAAAAAGGAAAGACTACGTGGCTGCTGCAAATAGGAAGGCAAACATTTAGAAAGAAAAGAACAAAACACATGAGTATGCTGATCTCTTTTCTCCTAAGTTTTTTCCTTCTCATATACTCTGGGAGCACATCACTGATAGAAACCCACACAGGGATCTTCCACTCCAGGAGGCTTCAGCGAAGGAGAGAATTCACCATAACAAGGGGAAGGTTGGGAGTGCTGATTGCAAAAAACAGCTCAGATTCTTCTCCTGCATATCTAAGACAGTTATAGGAGCACAGGACACAGAAATGCACACAGGTTCATATATAAGCACCCTTTAGAGAGCCACAGTGACACACGTAGAAATAAAGATATTAAAACATAAACATAAAATCACGTGTGTGGAGAAGCACGCGGGCGGGAGAAATGCAGAGAGACAGCATCATAGGCGCACTGATTTGAATAAGATGAGTGCCAAGATAGGAGTGGGCAGCTACGGGCAACGAGGTCCGAGCACCGCACACCCACCCGGTTCCCTGGGAATAAGGCTGTGCCCACAAGCCGAGGGACAGGAACCAAGGCGCTAGGCTTCACGACTCTACCCATCCGCCCTATTGGCTCCTGCTTCTGATGCCACACCATCTCTTCGTTTCCCTGCTGCTTCTTTCAGTTCTCCCCACCGCCTCCTCCCTGCACGTCCATTCCCATCTCGGTCTCGGCATTCCCCCTCGCTCTTTACCCAAGGGCCCCTCTTGCCTTTTAGTCTTAGCTCTTCTCGGCAGCGGCTTCCTTTACACACTGTCCTTGGGGAAGGGGGGAGGGGAGCTAGCGAGCACAGGGAGGAGCCAGGTGGAGGCAACAGGGAGGAGAAAAAAGGAGAGGCTTCCCAGCCCCCACTGGCTGATTCTGGTCGGGAGGCTCCGCCTCCCCCTGCTCGCCTTTCGCCTCCTCTTCTTCCTCCCCCAAAGAACGCAGCTCAGATTTGGCTTCTGCTTAGTTGCTTCACGCTCCAGAGGGTTCTCGGGCCCCCCTGTCAATCTCGGGAGCCTTCAGCTCCTGTGTACAGTGGGAGTCAGAAAATTTTAATTGCTTCCCTGTTTTCCACAGAGATAACTTTCCCAGCCGGGACTGCCTGAGACTCCTTGCATTCAAGCACCTTCGGTAACTGACGATAACATCTCCCTCCAGCCCTGTCCATTGTCTCCCATCTCTATCATTCTTTGAACAGACATACACTGGAAGGCTGTGTGCCAGGTTTTAGGTGCTGAGAGATGGAAAGATAAATGAAACAGCAGGGGAATAACCCTGTCCCACGCCTGCAGTGGGAGAGGGTGCAGGATCCTGGTGGTGAAGCCAGCATGTCTGTTGGGCCACACAGCACACAGGATCCTGGGACGTAGGGCAAGTACTCCTAGAGCAAGAGGTGCATTCTTTACCCAGTTCCTCTTGACTCCTTCCTCCGCTCCACCCATGCTTCAATGCCTCTCTACTGTCATCTCTCTTCTTGCTGTTTCTACTGCCCTTCCTCTTACTTATTTTGTTTCTGCCCCTGCACACTCTAGCCACAAACAATAGGAATGCAAATGACTAGGAGATAAAAGTATTTGACTACACAAAATTAACTTTTGCGCTGCAAATGCTACCTTCAAAAAATTGAAAAGACAACCCATTGGATGAGAAAAAAAAATTGCAAATCATATATCTGATAAGGATCAATATCTAGGATATATAAATAACTCTTGCAACTCAATAATATAGATATAATAACCCAATTTAAAAATGAGCAAAAGATCTGAACAGATACCTCACCAAAGAAGATGTACAGATGGCAAATAAGCATATGATGCTCAACATCATATGTCATTAGGGAACTGCAAGTTAAAAGTGAGATACTATTACAACCTATTAGAATGACTAACAAAAAACAAACAAACAAAAAAACCTAATATCAAATGCTGACAAGAGTGTGAAGGAGCATTCTTGGTGGGAATGAAAAATGGTACAATCACTTTAAAAGACAGTTTGGCAGTTTCTTACAAAGCAAAATACAGTCTTACCACACATGATCCAGTAATTACACTCCTAAGTATTTACCCAAATGAGTTGAAAACTATATTCACACAAAAACCTGCACACAAATGTTTATAGCAGCTTTATTCATAATTGCCAAAACTGAAAGTGACTAAAATGTCCTTCAAAAGAAGAATGGATAAACAAACTGTGAAGCATTCATATAATGAAATATTTATTATTCAGCAATAAAAAGAGAAAATACTGAAAATCTAGCTAGAGAGTGCTAAGAGGCAAAACCCCTGCCGTGATATGACCCATCAAGCCAAAAAACGACATGGAGGAAACTTAAATACTTATTGCTTAGTGAAAGAAGCCAGTCTGAAAAGGCTATGTACTGTATGATTCCAACTATATGACATTCTGGAAAAGGCAGAACTATAGAGACAGTAAAAAGATCAGCTGTTACCAAGGGCTTGGAGTAGAGATAAATTGGTGCAGCACAAAAGATTTTTAGGGCAGTGAAACTATTCTGTATGATGCTATAATAGTGATTATACAACATCATGCATTGTCAAAACTTATAGAACTGTACAACACAGTGAATCCTAATGTAAACTATGGACTGGTTACTAATAATGTATCAATATTGGTTTGTCAGTTGAAATGAATGTACCACACCAGTGTAAGGTGCTAATAATAGGGGAAGCTGAGCAGAGAAGAAATATGATATATGGAAACACTCTGTACAATCTGTTCAAATTTATGTAAGCCTAAACCTGCACTAACAAATAAAGTATATTAATCTAAAAATATTTTCTGTTCAGTGAAATAGCAAATGAAATTGTGACATTAAAACAAAAAATGGGCAAGGGTTTGAATAGACATTTCTCTAAAGAAGATACACAAATAACCAATAAACACATGAAAAGGTTCTCAACATTACAAATCATTAGGGAAATGCAAATCAAAACCACAATGAGATACCATTTCACACCCATTAGGGTGGCTGTTATAAAAAAAAACAATCCAAAGTGTTCGTGAGGAGGTGGACAAATTGGAACCCTTGTATATTAGCTAATACGGAAAACAGGTTGGCAGTTTCTCAAAATTAAACAGTTACTGTATGACCTAGCAATTCCACTCCTACGTATATACCCAAGGAAAATGAAAACATGTACACACACATACGTGCACACACATCTTCATAGCAGCTTTATTCATAATATGCAAAAAGTGGAAACAGTCCAAATGTCCATCATCTGATGGATAAATAAAATGTGCTGTATCCATACAATAGAATGTTACTTGGCAATAAAAAGAATGAACCATGCTGCAACATGGATGAACTTTGAAAAGATTATGCTTAGTGGAAAAAGCTAGTCACAAAAGACCACAAATCATATGATTTCACTTATATGAACTGTCTAGAATAGGCAAATATATGGAGACAGAAAGTAGGGTCGCAGTTGCTCAGGGATGCAGTGAAATGAGGAGTGACTGCCAATGAGTACAGGATTTTTTTTGTGTTGTGTGTGTGTGTGTGTGTGTGTGTGTGTGTGTGTGTGATTTATGTAGTCACTCCTATACTTGGAGTGACTACATAAATCTATAAATATGCTTAAAAACTATTGAATTGTATACTTTAATTTTAATAAAGTCAAGCTTATCAATTATTTCTTTCATGGATCAAGGCTTTGGTGTCGTATTTAAAAAGGCATTACCATACCCAAGGTCATCTAGGGTTTCTCCTACGTTATCTTCTAGGAGTTGTATAGTTTTGCATTTTACATTTAAGTCTATGATTCATTTTGAGTTAGCTTTTGTGAAGTAAGGTCTGTATCTAGATTTTTGTTTTTTGCACATGGATGTCTAGTTGTTCCATCACCATTTGTTGGAGAGACTATCTTTGCTCCATTGTATTACCTTGGCTCCTTTGTCACAGATCACATTTCTGTCACAGATCTATTTCTGGGCTCTCTATTTTTTTTTTTTTAAGATTTTATTGGGAAATTGGGGGAGGCGAACAGCGCTGGGAAGTCGGGGAAGGGAAACAGACAAGTTGCTGTTCTTTTGTTCTTCAGTCTAGTTGTGGAGGACGTCGCTTCACTGGCTCATGTTGCACTCTTCCTGGGTGAGCAGATTGGTCGCTGGCCCACTGCACTGCCACTCACGCTGGCTGCCAGCCACTCATGGTAGCTTATGGCAGCCCACTGCAACTTCACTGCAGCCTATGCCTTCGCCTGCAACTCAGGGCAGCCCAGCTCCAGGTCGAGCTGTTGTTTACCATCTTAGCTGTAGAGGGTGCAGCGTCACTGGCCCTAATGTGGGATCCAAACTGGGGCCCTGCTGCTCAGAGCTGGCGTCCCAAGCCAACTCTTAGCCAACACGTCACTTGGCCGGGTCCTGGGCTTTCTATTTTGTTCCACTGATCCATTTGTCTATTTTTTCACTAATACCATAGTGTCTTGATTACTATAGCTTTATGGTACTCTTGAAGTCAGGTAGTGTCAGGCAGCCAACTTTGTTCTCTTTCAATATCATGTTGGCTATTCTGGGTCTTTTGTCTTTCCATACAAACTTTAGAATCAGCCTATTGATATTTATAAAATAACTTGCTAAGATTTTGATTGGGATTGTACTGAATCTATAGATCAAATCGGGAAAAACTGACATCTGGACAATGTTGAGTCTCCTATCTATGAACATGGAATACATCTCCATTTATTTAGTTCTTTTATTTCATTCATCAGTTTTTACTTTTCCTCATAAAGATCATGTATATATGTTATTAGATTTATCGCTAAGTATTTCACTTTTGGGTTGCTAATGTAAATGGTATTGTGTTTTTTATTTCAAATTTCACTTGTTCATTGTTGATGTATAGGAAATTGACTTTGCATGTCAATCTGTCATACAACCTTGCTATAATAACTTAGTTCCAGTATTTTGTAAATTCTTTCAGATTTTCTACATAGATGATCATACCATCTGTGAATAAAGATAGTTTTATGTCTTCCTTCTCAATCTGTATACCTTTTATTGCTTTTTCTTGCCTTATTGAATTAACAAGGACTTTCAATAAAACGATAAAAAGGAATGGTGAGAGGGTACATCCTTGTCTTGTACCTGATTTCAGTAGGTACTGAAAGCTTCAAGTTTTCTCACAATAAGGTATTATGTTAGCTGTAGGATTTTGTAGATACTCTTTCTCAAGTTGAGACAGTTCCCTATATTCCTAGTTTACTGAGAATTTTTATCATGAGTGGGAGTTGGATTTTGTCAAATGCTTTTTCTTCATCTATTGATATGATCATGTGATTTTGCTATTTTGGTCTGCTTATATGATGGATTATATTAATTGATTTTTGAAAGTTGAACCAGCCATACATACCTGGGATAAATCTCCTTGGTTATGATGTATAATTCTTTTTCTACTATTTTGGACTTCATTTACTAATATTTTGTTAAGAATTTTTGCATCTATGTTCATAGGAGATATTGATCTGTAGTTTTCTTGTAATGTTTTTGTCTGGATTTGGTGCTATGGTAATGCTGGCCTCATAGTATGTTAGGAAGTATTTCCTCTGCTCTTATCTTCTGAAAGAGATTGGAGAGAATTGGTAAAATTTCTCCCTTAAATATTTGGTAAAATTCACCAGTGAACCTACCCAGACCTGGTGCTTTCTTTTTGGGGAAAGTATGAATTATTGATTCAATTTCTTTAATAAATATAGACCTAGTCATATTGTCTATTTCTCATGTGAATTTTGGCAGATTGTGTTTTTCAAAGAATTGATCCATTTCATGGAGTTTATAGTATTCCTTTATTATCCTATTAATTTCCATGGTATCTGTAGTGATGTCACCTCTTTTCATTTCTAATATTAAAGTAATTGTGTCCTCTCTTTTTTTCC